CTGAGGCAAGCTCCGCCCATCACCGCACGCTGCAAAGCGCGCGCGTGCGCGCCGCTTACATTGACAGTATTTGCGTTACAGTTCAATATTTATGTCTGATGATTATATTTCTGTTTTATTTTCAGTTGTTAGTTGTTTAGTGTTATTTTTTATTTTTATTATTATATTGTTATTGCTGTTAATATTATTATAGTTATTATTATCATTATAATTGTTAGTATTATTATTGTTATTATTTTCATTACATTTCATCTTATTTTCAGGTGACCCTGCTTGATGCACCATCCGCTTCTGGCTCTGGCTCTGGTCGCGCGCCCGTTCCGCCAGCCGCACCCCCCGTGATAACACTGGACGATGAGGTGGAAGAGATCCCAGTTGCGGTCGAAAGGAAACATGCGAAACCGGCTGCGGCGCCGAATCGGGACTCGCCTCGACATCGGAAACGCGAATTGGGCGCGGCGCCCTCTCAAAAATCCTCGAAACGGACACGTGAAAGTGGTGCAGAGCATCAGGCGAAGATGCTCCGATATTCGCAGATTCTCGACAAATATAGACGAAAAATGGAGCAACTCCAACGCAAACGCCCACGCAGCCAACTCGCTGAAAAAGGCTTAAAACGGAAAAGACACGAAAGGGGCGGAGCAGGAGGCGCGCGCAGCAGTCCATTTGCACGATTGAATCGGCAGTGCGGGTCGCTTCTGGAGGGGGCGGTGCTTGGTGAGGCGAACACGCAACTGATCGCACAGCTTGCCGCTGAGACCACGCCCACGGAACTGGACGAGTTGAATCAGAATTTAAAGAGAATTTCACGTGTGGTGGAGAGAATCCGTGACTGGTGGGCAGAGCAGGGAGCGGCGGCGGCGGGCTCGAGTGGGTGGTGCCCGGAGGGCGGGCAGCATTCCCCGGGCAGCGCGTCGGATACGGGCACTGGGCGTACGGGTAATTCAAGTACGGGTACGGCGAAGACTGGGAGCCAGAAGGGTGGCGAGCGAAATGGTACGACGCGCATGGAGGAGGAGGAGGAGACGGTTTACGAGCGATCAGAAGGAAGTGGTGAAGAGAGTGGGGTTGAAGGGGACAGAGAGGAACAGGTGGGGCTGACTGGAAAGCGAAGAGCGAAGGTTGCCGCCGGTGGTAGCGATCAACCAAGGGTTGCCAGCCGCACGGACAGCACGGGTCCTGAAGCGATCTCAATAGATCAGAGAGCAGGAAGTCCAGGCTCAGGCGTCCAGTCTTCTGGAAAGGCTTCATCTGGGGAGGTCACGCCCGGATCCGGGCAGCCGGAGCAAAGTCATTCCGGAATCGAAACCAATAGTTTCGCAAAAGGGGGCGTTGCCGTTGGATCTGATGACGTCACTTCTGAACGCGGAGACAATGGAATGGAGGCGTCGGCAAGTGCGCGCCTGTCTAAAAGCCACGCCCACCGTGGGCGGAGCCATCGGAAACGAAGTGTAAGCGAGCAGGTTATATGTGGCGATGATGGACAGGACGTTTTTGAGAAAGAAGGCGAAACGACGAGAATGGTTTGTGAATATATGATAGTGATAATTTATGCATTTAATGTTTTGGCCCTTTGGCCACGCCTGCTGCGCATGGTCTCAGTCCAAGCCTAAGTCTCAGCCTAAGCCTAAGCCTCAGCTCGCTTGCTAGCCCCAGTTGTAACATCGAGCGATCTTAGGCTACGCTTAGATGAGGCTGAGGTTACCACTTAGGCTGAGACCCTGCGCAGTAGGCGTGGCCTCAGTTGCTATACGCGAGCGTGCTCGCCTGCGACCCCCCAAAGTAAACAAGTGCCGTATAATTAATATCTGTAATTAGTATTGTGTTGGGTAATAAATATATTCAATATTATTAATATGTAAAAATAAAAATTACAGAAAGCAGCAGGCACATCGAAGAGTTGCCACAGTGACGGGAGAAGATCTCACAGTCCAGCGAGGGGCAAAGATAGAGACGACTCGCCAAAAACTGAGGACTCTGATGAATTTTAGGTCATCACTTTTAAGTAGTTG